TAGTGACTTTCCAGAGTATTTTTGGAGACAGTAGTTTAGTTGCTCAGTGTACTCAGAGGGTCTCTCTCAGCTTTTTTTGAGCCTGAGTTTTGACAGAATTCCGTGAGGAAATAGCTGGAAAGAAAACAGAAGAAACATCAAGAGCTCAGCTCCTCCAGGGCCTGTGGACATTTGTGCTGGGGCTGCTGCTTTAACACATGGTCATGCTGTTCGTACCCCTCCAGCCTCAGTTCTCTGCAGAACTGAGCCTGGAGGGCAGCCAGTGCTCAGCATTGGGTCTTGGGGCTCAAGGTGAGGCAGAACATCATGGGGGAAGATTGTGTGGTGATCAGGAAGCAGAGATAGAGGTTTCCACTCACCAGATACAATATATCCCCCATAGCCACACCCAGTGAACCTCTTCCTCCAGCTACACCCCAGCTGCCTCCAGTCACCACCCAGTTAATCCCATCAGGGACTAATTCACCAATTAGGTTAAAGTATATAACACAATCATTTTTCCTTCAAACCTTCTTGCATTGTCTCACACATGAACTTTTGGGGGACACCTCACATCCAAGCTGTAATACTCAGACTGCTGTCTTCTATATTATCATGCATGCATTAAGCATATATATTATGTACTATATATTATTGCTTTTATTATTGTTCCATATTTGTTTTTGGGATTCTTTTATAAATGAAATTTTGTCTTAATTTCATTTCAGTATTTTATTTCATATATAGAAGTTGATTTTTTATTATGAATTCATTTTTATTGAGGAATTTTTTTCTTTTCTTTTTCTACCAACTGAGCTACACACCCCAGCCCCTTTTAATTGATTTTTATTGAGTTTTGTGTCTTACTTTTTCACTGCTGGCCTTGAGCACACATCTTCCTATTTATTGGGTGCTTCCAGGTTTTAAGCACCACTTGTCCTGTTGCTGTAAGTTTTGCAGTGCGGCGTGCACGAGGACCTACATGTGGACTCATTTGGGATACATCAACTTTGGGAAATGGCTTGGGGTCCAGGAACCACCACTGTGACATATGACATGCAGATGATCACTTCAGCCTTTGAAAGTTGAGCGGTCATGGCCCTGTGAGGAGGTTTGTGTGAGGCCTCTGTGTATGTGTGGGTGTGCTGGAGCCCCACAAATTCTCTAGGTTCTGATCTCCCGCTGTGAGCAGGCTTTCTGGTAGGAGCAGCAGTGAAGGAGCAACCTCAAATGTCCCTGTTCTTTTGCAGTAGAGACTCTAGGGAGCGGGAAGCCAGAAATAAGTCAAATGCACATTGTGTGAGCTGGTTGCTGTGGATGATGGAGAGAGGTGATGGGTGCAGAGGCTGCTCTGACTCCTCCCATCTTGGGGCCTGTGGATGCTGTCTCTGTGGGTGAGTCCCACCTGTCTTCCCACCCTGTCCTCCCTCTGGTGACAATCTTGTACTTTCTGTGAAATCACTCTGTAGCTCACCCTGTGAGGGGGACACACAAGGGCCTTGTGTGCTGCTTTCTTTCTCTGAACTTGGTGCCATAGTCCCAGCCTCAGTGCTGCAAATGACAGGACTGAAAGGTGTTTTTGGTGAAATCAAATTGATCTGTTATGCTTTCATTAATCTCATGGATGGTACAACATCCCAGAAACCATTTCCAAATCTAGTGTTGTGAGACTTGTGCTCTGCATGTTCTTGTGGGAATTGATGAGATTTACATCTTATGTTCTAATCCTAGGGGAAAGCATTTTTTTTTTTCACCATAGGTCATGATGGTCCTCTCTGCTTTCCAGGTATTACTTAATTAAGTTGAAGTATCCCCTTCTAGACCTCATTTGTTGTGCTGTTTATTGTACAAGTGTGTTGTCTTTTTCAAATGTTTTTTTTCTGCACCAAGTGAGATGGCTCTGTGTTTCAGTCATGTTGCAAATCCTGTGTCACACCAATTGATTTTCAAGTGTGAGACCATCTTGCAGTTCAAGAATACAGTTCCTTGGTCTGTATGTGTATTCCTTAAATGAATCTCCTCAGACGGTTTATTGGTATTTATTTGAAGATTTTTGCATAGGTATTCATGAAAGACAGTTATGTGCAATTTTTTATACATAATCAGCACAATTTTGGCCTCAAGGAGTGATTGTGGAAGTGCTTTCCCCTTTTCAGTTTTCAGAAAGAATTTGAAGAAGATATGTATTAATTGTGGTGAATTTGGGGGAGATTTCAGCAGTGAACGGCTGCTCCTGGGTTTTCATTCACTGAGGCTAATTCACTCTGTCCATGTCTAGAACTGTTCATATTTTCTCTTTCTTCTGTATATGGTGTGTTTCTCGACTTCTGTCCACTTCCTCTGTGTCACTCCATCTGTTGTACCTGGGGACTTGTTAACTGAGGTGTGACCTACGGTTCCTTCAGCCATGCTGTTGTGATGGAGGTATTCTGCTGGTGGTGCAGTGTCTTTTCGGGGGCATTCTCTTGACTGGGCCTTGCCCTGGTCTTCAGGACACTCAGACCTCCCAGGGCCATTCTTCATGAGCACTTCTCAGCCCTTCCTCCTCCTGATCTATGCAGGAAGAGTAGGGGAAGATGGGCTGGGGGTTCTCCTTCCCCAGACGTGTTGGCTGAGAACGTCTCAGGTGAATGAGCCTTTGGAAAGAGCTTCTTCAGAATGTAGGGCTCAGGAAGGATGGGTTCTCTGGGAATAGTAGAAAATGTCCTCTTTCTTGTCCCCATGCCTTAACCAGTGAGCTTGAGGTGGGGCAAGATGTAAGCATGCATGTGTACAAGGTCATAGGGAGCTAGTGAAGGAGGGAGAGAGGGAGAGAATCTTCACTGTGATATACTGTCAGTGTCTCTGGGGAAAAAACATTATAAATTTGTAGGAATAGTCAGGAAAACCCATGGGCTGCAGGTCGTGGTAAATTTCACAAGAGACAATACTGCTGCAGGGGCAGCCTCCTGCTCTCCCCAGTCCTCCGTCCTGACCCAGGGGTCCTGGGCCTGCAGTGGGTGTCAATGCCATGTGCTTGCCATTCTCCTGGGCCTTCCTCTTCACTGAGGTGGTCCTCTCTCCACACGTGGCTTTCACCTTCTGCTCCACGTCCTGGTGTTCCATTTCAGTTGTGCATTTATTCCTCTCACTCTGTGATCTTGCTCTGTGGTGTTGCACGTATTGCAGGTTTCTCCTCCATTTTTATCTTTTAATTCCCTTTATTTAATGTATTTGAATTTCTCATTTTTTTCAATATTTACTCTTTCAATGTTTACTCTTTGTGAAAAAGAGTTTTGGATTCTGTAAGACATTTCTTATACACATCTGAAAGTGTTTAGTTTTGTTTTTCACATCAGAATCTCTAATGAACAATAGTCTATGGATTAGAGAGGAAAACAGTGCATGTTTGCAATTAGATACCAGTTAGTTTTGGTCCCATTTCACATTGTTTGTGATTTATTTTTCCCTCTCAAATACCTTTTATGTCATTATTAAGCTCTTCCTATAATTGTCAGCCCCCTGAAAATTTTTTTCTGTCTTGCTTCATTCTTACTCTGTCTGATAGCACAGAATCAGCAGATAGAGTAAGAATGAAACAATAATTCTGAGTATCATAATAGAAAGTCCTTTATGTACATTCATATGTCACATAAATACAGGGATACATTCTGGAGGAGCATTTTTAGGCTGCCTCACCGTTGCACAAACATCTTTCTGTATTCCCCAAATCCTGGATGGCACAGCCTCTTGCACACCTAGGCTTTATGGTCTCAATGTTTCCTGGGATAAAAATCTCCACAGCATTTTGCTTTATGAAATACTGTAGTTAACAGTACATTAGGTTTGTTTATACCAGCAGCACTGTGCACACACAAGGAGTCCCTTTACTACAGACAACTTTAGTATATATTAATAATATAATAATAATGACCTATTATTAACCCAAAACACCTTTGAGCAAAACGTTATTATGAGGCACATGACTGTAGACTATATAAGCCAACAGTCTGCTGCATTTACACATTAATTATTCTTATTATGCTTGGAAAAGTAGCATCCATTGACTACTCCTAAGTGTTATTGAGATTATATCAAATTATATATGGATATCACATGGAAGAATGACATCTTAGGGATATTGATTTTTTTTTTTTTTTATTCATGGTAGCTTTCTACTTATCCCATTCTGTTTTGACATCAACTTAAAGAAAGTATCAACTTGTTCTGTGTGTTGATCATTAGGCCTTCAGTAAATCTGTTTCAAACAACCAGTGGTTCTCTTGGTGTAGTCCGACAGGATGAGCTCAATCCCCAGTTAACACATTGTGACCACCTGGATGAAATATTGTCTATCAGAGAGTCTGTGCCTGTCCAAAGGGATTATTTTTATTTATTTATTTATTTATTTATTTATTTTTTGAGGGGGTGGCAGGAGTTGAGGGACAGGGACCTGATCCTTTAAGGTCTTATCCTAAGAAAAGAACTAAATAATAGGCTTTCTGAAGGAAAGCAGACATCTAGTATATAGCATGTTGTTTCCCTGCTATAACTATAACTATACTATAACTCAGTGTTAATGCTCAGTTTGGTAGGATCCCTCCCAAATCCTTAGGTCTCCCTATCTGCAAACTTTCAACTTTGTCAGTAGGCCGTTCTAAGGGTGTGCACTGTCAGGAGGACTAATATTAGTTCTCTTCTTCACATGAGGTAGTAGGGCTTCATTAGTCCATGTATTAGACATGCACCCTACAAAGACTCCATGAGAAGGGTGTTTTTCTATTGCTTTTCTAAGTAGTTCCTTTCTAATATTGGAATGCATATGTTTGCGGAAGTAAGTTCTGACAGTTTGAGTTTTTCTGGACAAATCATGGAGTAAATATTGGAGACCTCAAAATCATGTGAATATCTTGTGTGTAGAGAAGAGATCCCTCATGTTTTCAATCTCTTCTGGTCTCCAACACACATTTGTGTGATATTTTAGAATATTTAGATATTTTTGATGATACATAATTCCTATTGATTTTATGGTTTCCTTTCAGGAAGTAAACAGTACGATCAGAACATTGAAGATCAGAGCAAAAACTCCATGGAGGAATCTAAGGTAATTTTACTCAAAAGAGGAAGCAGGGTCCCTTGAGGGAATTCTAGCACATCCTATAAGTTTACATGCAAGGAAACAAAAGAAATAGGCACAGTATAGAATTCTTAGCAATTTTTCACCAGAAATATAAGCTTAATGAAGATATATATTTAGTGTATAAAGAATAATTGATTTTCTGACAGTACTGATACCACATTCTTGATACCACTGGTTTTGTTTTGAGGGGGTAACAGGGATTGAACTCAGGGGCACTTGACCACTGAGCCACATCCCCAGCCCTACTTCTTTTTATTTGATTTAGAGACAAGGTCTTATTGAATTGCTTGGCCCCTTGCTTTTGCTGAGGCTGGCTTTGACCTTGTGATCCTCTTGCTTTAGCCTCCAGAGCCTTTGGAATTACAGGCATGCATCACTGTTTTTTTAATAGCTATGCAAGCAATTTTTCAACATAATCAATTCATTTACTCTGAAATGATTTGGACGTGACAAAATCTGTGCTTTCTTTGGTATTATAATAATGAGAGTCTAAGATCTATTAAAGAAAAAAAAACAATTAGAAAAACAAAAATAAATATGTGCTTTTAATTTTTCCAGAAGTCATATGACAGACTCTACCAAAATTAAAACAGATATTCATTGTGGAAAACCCTTTAGTGAGATCCGAAATCTTAACCTAAAAAAAGACATATCTGCTTGAGTAAATCAGTGTGAGTGCAGTGTATTTGGAAATGTCTTCATATTTTCCATTCTTTTTTTTGGAGGTGGGGGTGCTAGAAATTTTACTCGGGCACTCACACTAAGCTACATCCTCAGCCCTATTTTGTATTTTATTTAGAGACAGGGTCTTGGGGAGTTGCTTAGTGCCTCACTTTTTGTTGAGACTGGATTTGAACTTGAGATAATCATGTCTCAGCCTCCTGAGCTGCTGGGATTACAGGCTTGGGCCACCGCACCAGGCTCTATTATTTCTTAATAGGCACATCATATTTCAGTCTGCTTATAAACCAGATGAACATGAGAAGTGTGGTGGGAAGACATATGAACCTCAGCAGTACAGAAAACCCTCATTTCTCTCCCAAGTATTCAAAGGAAGTGATGAAGCACACTAGAAATGGACCTTATGAATGTGTATGTAGGAAAGGGTTCAGTTGTTCCCAGAGTTTTCAAAACATGAACCATCTCACACTGGATTAGAGTCCTAGGAATGTAAGCTATGTGGAAAAGCCTTTGCTTACTTCAGTTCCATTTGAAAACACCTACTGGAGAAAATCCCTATGAATGTTAACAGTGTTGGGAAAGCCCTCACTATTTCTGATTATCCCCAACTGCAATGCAACCAGTGTGGTACATCCAGTTCCCTTCCAACAGTTGGATCAATTCATACCAGAGAGAAGCAAGATTGTCAAGATTGTGGGAAGCCTTCCCTGTTTCTGTTCATCTTCACTCACATAAAAGTACTCATATTGGAGAGAAACCTTACGAAGGTAAACAGTGGGATAAATCATTTACAGTTCTTACCTGACAGTACATCGAATAACTGAGAAGCCCTATGAATGTAAACAGTGTGGTCACCTTCATGCACATGAACAAACTCAGACGGAAAGAAGGCCTATGAATGCAAAGAACGTGGAAAAGCCTGGAGTTGGCCCTCTCACCTTCAAAAGCAGAAACAACTCATATGATTGTGAACAGAGTGGCACAGCCTTCACTTAAAGTCATGCTCAGAAAACATCAAACAACTCATACTGGAGAGAAGCACTGTGGATGAAAACAATGGGAAATGCCTCCCATTACTGGAGCTTCCTTTTAAATATGAAAGACATTGTGCTTGAAAAAAGCCATTGAATGTAGAAAAAAAAATGTGGCAAATGATCTGATACTTCCAATCACCTTCAGAGTCATGAAAGGGCTCACATGAGAGAAAACCTCTTTGAGTGTAAACAATAGTTGGTAAGTCATTGAGTGTTCTCAGTCGCCTTCAAAGCCATTTCATTAACTCTGGTAAACAAAACTGAATGTGTGTTGGTTCCTTTTCCTTCCTCTGCACGGATTTCTTATTATGGAAAGAAGCCCTGAGAATGTGAGGAATATGGGAAGTGTCCAGTTTTCCCAGGTTTTTGTTATGATATCTGGTGCAGGTGTCCAATGTTCCAATTCTCCTCATTTGTTCACTTTCTACCCCTGTGACAAAATACATGAGAAAAATCAACTTAAGGAAGGAAAGATTTATTTTGGCTCACTTGATCATAGGTTTCTGTCCATAATTGAGTGGCCCCATTGCTCTGGGAAATGGACCATCATGGTGGAAGCGCAGAGCAGAGCTCATGGCACCCAGAAGGGGAAAGAGAGAGGGAGTAATGGGCCACCAACCACATATAGCCTTCAAAGTCATGTCTGAGTAGTCCACCTGCTGCAAGTAGACATCCCCTCCTAGTGTCCTCCTCCCACAGCACCACCAGCTGGGGACCCAGCCTCCAGCACATGTGGCTTTGGGGGACATTCCAGGTCCATCCATGCTACAGCACTTGAGTTACATGAAAGAACTCATGCAGGGCAGTGCCTAGGAGTACAGAATGTGAAGAGTATCCCATCTTTTCAGTTTCCTTCAAAGACAAATCAGGACTCACATTAGAGAAATGCCTGATGACTAAGAAATCTGGTAATGCTTTCAATTTTCCAGTTTTCTTTGAAAAGAAGGAAGGATTCACGTGTGGTAATGAAATGTGGTAAATGAATGAAGAAATGCCTCCAGGCCTTCAGTTGTTCTAGGTCCATTCAGACACACAGAATTCATTAGTGAGAGAAAGACGAGGAGTGCATGGAAAGTGGGAATGCCTTCATCTCCCTGTGACATTCAGAGGTGCAGGATGATGCATCCAAAAGATGTGCGTGTTAGCTCGACTTTAAGGTGTGAAAACACATCGATTTTCTGGGTTAAATCTCTCATCTTGCATTGTAGGTCTTTCTATTTATAGTTTTCTATCGTTTTGTTGAGAATTTTTGTATCTATAGGCAAAAAAAAATTTGTACACTAATATGTAGCATAGAAGTATCTAGTACATAGAATATATGTATGTGCATATATCTGTGTGTATGCTATATAGGATCAGTACAGTTTTGTAAGTAAATAGTGTGTATTATATATACTATTTTATAAGATAATGTAATTAAGCACCATGTGCATTATCTAGGATTTTATGGCATCATAGTATAGTATTAAATTCTTATTGATCCATAGTATCAGGTATTTCAGTTTCCTCCTACCAGCCCTATCCCAAACCACATAATTTTGAGGGAACCAAGAGCACCTCACTTTGATGATACTACAAAGCTTTGCCCCTTGCCCCTTATTACATCAGCAATCAAGTGCAATCCCTCTGTGGGCCTGGATGGCTTCCTGTGCCCTCCTCTGCTTAACTCTGTGTTTCCATTTTTCTTATGTGTCCAGTGGGGGTGTTACATGTTTGTCGAAGTCACCCTGGGTGCTAATTCATTTGTAGGTAGTGGTGTGAATGGGAGGCTGTTAGAAACCTTTACAGCATAAACAGAATGGAGTGAACATGAATAAAAACAGCTGCTCAGCTTTTACTAATTGCTCTTGGTGACTGGTTCCACGGCACAATGAAACCACCTGAGTAGCACCTGCACTTTTTGATGGGTTTGACCTTGGTCTGCCCACAGTTACTGATTTGTACCTGGTGTTGCCATTTCTCCCCTCACATGAGTACTCACATCCCCTACACATAATGGTTCACTGGCTTTACCCACTGAATGCCTTCCTCCCTCAAGGCAGTGAAAGAATAGCTACCCAACAAGTGCTTTAGTCCTGATTAACAAGAAACAGGCTAAAGCTCTGTGGACCCTGCATTTAATTTGGGAACCATCACTAATTGCTTGGGATACTCCTGGGAGAGACTCAGGGATGGTCTTTTGTGAAATTCGAGAAAGAAGGGGATACTCACCTTGAGAACAATTAAGTACATCACCTAGTTTCTCAAAGTTGTTTTCATGGAGCAGGCAAGAGTAGGGGCCTTGCTTGTCTCTCGTGTGCTAATTACCTTACAGCCCTGTGCACCCTTCTGTTGAGGGGCACATCCATGATGCTTGATGGTCCAAGTGCTGATAGGTAATGCATGAGGCATTAGCTCCTCGTGAAACCTGGGAGGAGTATCTCAACCATTCATGCTTCGGAAAACCCCTCACCAGTGTGTGAGTTTTCCTTAGCACTAATGCTTGTCAGCATGCTAAAGTCTCATGGAAGAAGGTTTTCTGGCCTTAGAAAAATGACTTACTGCAAGTGGGTATTAACCCACACAGAAATAAGTCTCATTACCCGAAGGCTGAAGTGGTGTCTTCCAGTGTGGGTTACTGGGCTTCTGAACTCTTCACCTTAGCCACACATGAGCACTAGCAGTGATCAGATGGAGTCAGTACTGGGGAAACCTGCAAGTTTGCATCAGTGGAAATCCAAAACGTCATAAATCCCTGTGGGTAGGGAAGGGAAAAGTGTCATGTGCAGTGATCAGATCTAGGAACCCAGCACCTGATGGCTTGGCTCCCCAAGACCCAGCAGTTGTACTGCCACAGTCACTACTGCCTGTGCCTCTGTCTCAACAAGTGTCCTAGTTCCTGTGTGAAGGGTGTAGATGGCTATTTAGATATCTTGGACCAATGCAGTTGTCCCTTGTAGTTCTTAAGAGAAAACATAGAGGTGATGAGTATGTAACTCCACAATGGATCCCTTGCTTTACATGGGAGAGGAACCTGTGTTCAATCCCCAGTACTGCACAACAGCAAAACAACAATAAAAGAGCAACTGTAGCTGAGTGTAGTGACACACACCTACATGTCAGCAGATAGTGACCCCGAGGCAGGAGGATAGCGAGTAGAAAGCCAGCGTCAGCAAATTAGTTAGACCCTAAGCAATTCAGCAAGACCCTTTCTCAAAAAGTTAAAAAAAAAAAAAGGACTGGGGATGTGGTTCAGTTATTAGACACCCCTGGGTTCAATCCCCAGTACCAAAGGAAAACACACACACACACTTACACACACACACATACACACACTCACATACATATACACACACACACACACACACAAAAAAAAAAACCAAGCAAATAAAATAAGCAACTATAAAATGTGTGATGGAGAATGAAGACCAATCCCATAAAGTCAGTGGCCGAACTTCTTGCATCTTGGAAAAGATGAAAAGGAAGGCAAAACACAAGAGGTTAAGGACATGAGAAGCTTATGGGTGGCTATAGGGGGCATTGGCCTGGGGTCAGCCTGGTTGATTGGGCCTTGTTTTAGTCAGTTTTTTGTCAGCTGTGACTAAAAGACCTGTCAAGAACAATGCTGAGGGGGGATTGTTTGTCCCAGGCACAGTTTCAGAGGTCTCAGTTCATAGACATTCCTGTCCATTGCCCTGGGACCAAGGTGAAGTAGGACATCTAACAGAATGGATGACCGAAGAAAGCAGCTCCAGACATGGCAACAGAAAGCAGAAATAGAGCTCTGCTTACCAAAAATAAACGTAAATCCTGCAGGAAAGCCCCCAGTGAGCCAGCTCCCCCAGCCACACCTCACATGCTTGCAGTCACCAAGAGTTCATCCACTCAAGTGGGTCGATGCTCTGCTTGGGTTACACACATGCTAGGCAAGTGCACTATCACTGAGCCCCAGCCCCAGCCTCTTGATGACAATTCTTAGCCTAAAAAATAAGAGAGGGAAGTGGAAAAGGAAAGCAGGAAGGAAGCCATAAGTAGGAAAGAGGTGGAGAGGAATTAAGTGTGAGCAGATTTTTGTAAGGAAAATTGAAATTGATGAATACAGAAGACTGTTGTGTGGTGAAATAAGACTCTTTCTCTTGAAGTAGAATGTCGGATTGTTCCTCAATGGGCAGGAAGCAGTAAGAGTCAAAACTGCTGACGTATGCACATTGTAGGTGTAAAAATGTTATGACACTTGATGTGTCCTTCAGAATTCATTAAAAATTTTGAAGCAAAGTTCTCTTTTATGTAATGGGTTCACTTTATTTTTTGAATGTGGGGGATTAGGAAAAAGTTAAAAGTCATCTAATGGGCATTTGGCAGAAAAATTATGATAGTCCAGACCTTATGGAATTCCTTCACTACATCCAGGATATTCAGGGGATGCCACATGGCTTGTTAAAGAAATTCTTGATGACTTCAATGGTTTTAATCCTTGGAATATTTTAAAACATACAATATGGTAAATTCTAGAATTTTGTGTTTGCTACTAGTTCTCATTTGTGTTATAACGATAAGATGCCACATCTTCAGATAAGAAATCTGACAGCTCCAAATAATAACAAAACATTTGTGGTCAAAAAATGAAAAAGGAGGAGTTGTGGAGAGAGGTAACGTTCTCTGATTGCATTGTGGTTGTGGTGCACTTGCCCTGGGAAATTCCTGTGTAAAAGTCCAGATCAAGATTTGCCCAGTTGCTCTGGTGACACCCTGCCTGAAGAGGCTCTGTGAAGAGACACAGAGTCACATCAGTCTTGACCTTGAGATCACACACCACCTCCCAGGAATAGAGAATTCTGAATATGACAAAGCCACAATGTTTCACCCATGCTGTGACTTCTACGCCTGCCCACTTAGCAGAAACTCTGGCCATGGGCTTCCTGGGTGTTAACATGATGCCCCTAAGTTTACAACAGTAGAATAGCTACAAGAATGTTTCTAGTCTTGTAACTTTTTAATGCACAAAGAACAATGCCTCTACAGTCTTTAACTTCCTGATTATGAGACACTATATAATACATGTGTTGTGCCTGCTGTGGGTCACTTCTTCTCCATTAGAGATGAGTGCTTCACCTGATGCCAGATTTCTCTCTAAATGTGTGTCTTTCCTAATCCCCCCTCACTGGTTTTTGAATTAAGGTCTATGCAGGTCAGAGCACAGAGTTATTGGAGATTGCCTATATCAATTTTAGGTTGATTCTTTTTTCCTTTATTTTGCATAGAAATACCATTGGGATTTTTGATAGGATTTCATTGACTTTGTAGGTAAGTTTTGGATAGTTTTGATTATATTATGACCTTGGAAATGTGAATACTAGCTGTCTTTCCCTTTATTTGTATATATTTTCATTTCTTTCAGGATCATTTTATAGTTCTCAGTGTATAAGCCTTTAATCTTCTTGGCTAAGTTATTTCCCAACTTCTATTCATAGTATTTTTTTTCTTTCCTTTTCAGATTACTCATTATTAGTGTATGTTAATGTACCTTAGTTTTGCAGATTGAGTTTTATGCTCTGCATCATTGCTGAGTTCATTTATTAGTTTCCTTAATTTTAGTGTATTTGAATTTGTTGCTCTTTGTTACTCTTTTTTCTTCAGTAGATAATTTGCCATTGGGTATGGTGGCACTCACTTGTTATCTCAGTTCCTCAAGGGGCTGAGGCCAGCCTGGACAATGTAGTGAGATTTAAAAATAAAAATATAAAAAGTGTGTAGCTCACTGAAAGGTAAAGCTGCACTAACAGAATGTGATTTGGAGATTTAGGAAACTTTCTAGGGGTGTCCCTTGGAAGGTGTCATCTTGTTGACATTAGTTGTTTCTAAATCCATGCTATATTTTCTCTTATCCCACACTGTTTTAACTTTAGTTAATAGACAGCTTCATGTTGTTCTGTTTGTTGATCATTACTCTTATTTACTACTTGGCAAAATGTTATCTGGAGTAAGCCACTTGTTACCTTCAAAATGTTTTTGTTTATTACTAATCAAATAGTTTGAGATGATTTCTACAAATCACTGTTTGTAGAAATATGATCTGAAATATGATCTTCTGGGCAGCTGGTTAGAGACTCTGCCTGGAGCATGGGCTAGCGGGGAAGCTGCTCATGTCCTCAGAACTGGTGTAAGAGTGGGACAAGATGGTAGAGTTTGAGAAGGAAAAAAGAAATCCAATAAATACTGTCTGGCTTGTATAAATTCATTAGGAATAATGAGCCACGCTTCACCATTAGAGTGGTATAATCTATCCAAATCCTGATTTCCCATATGACAGCAAGGTTCAAGTTTGTGTGCAGGCTTTTCTGAGGATATATGAGTTCACAAGTGCTAATAGGAAGAAGTCCTTTCTTCTTAGCAAGCAGATGGTTGGAATTTGTTTTTAGATGCATTTGAGGCACAATCTGCAAAGGGAAATTTTGGTGGCCCAGGGTAATATCTTTCTCCCAGGACTCTCCAGTGACAAGGGTATTCTTGCTCTAGTACTGCTTTTTTGTGTAATTTAATTCTAGTGTAGGAACACCTGCATTTGAGGAAATGAGTGTGATGAGTTCTGAGTTTTGGTGACCAAATCACAGAATAAGTATTTGGAGAGCACAGTGTCATGTGAACACCATCATGTTAAGAATATTTATTTTTTAGTTTTCGGCGGACACAACATCTTTGTTTTGTATGTGGTGTTGAGGATCGAACCCGGGCCGCTCGCATGCCAGGTGAGCGCGCTACCGCTTGAGCCACATCCCCAGCCCCCAAGTATAGATTCTTAGTAGCTGCCAACCTCACAGCCCTCAACGACACATTTGTGGGATATATTTAACTCAGTTGCCTTTGGGGATGTGGCTATGAACTTCTTTCACCCAGGAGAAGTGGGTTTTGCTGGATCCATTGAACAAGAATGTCCACAGAAATGTGATGTAAGAAGTCTCCATGATATTTCTTTACTCAGTCCAATAGAGAACATGTGGGCCTTTGCTTTTAATTATTTTGATGTCTTCAATTTGAAATATGTAAAGGTAATAGTATAGTAAACAAAGGAGTCATGATTCTGTGGGAGACCACTCAGAAAACACACAAAGTCTGAATTTGAAGCTAATTAAAGAATTTTTATTTTACCTATCTGATCCTGGCCAGGCACACTTTTTAAAAAATATTTTTATTTGTAGGTGGACACCATACCTTTATTTGTTTATTTATGTGGTGCTGAGAATCAAACCCAGGGTCTCACCTGTGCTAGGCAAGTGCTCTACCACTGAGCCACAACCCCAGTGCCCTAGGCACACTTCTGACAGAGCCCTAGTAGCTCTCTGAAAGAAGCATGCTAGGCTCTCTGTGGCTGCAGTGTTTGAGAAAGAAAATCACATCCTATGAATTTTGCAAATTGCAAGCAAGTAGAGTACAGGGGCTGAAAATGCAGTTAGCAGAGCAAGTCCAGACAACCACATCCAGGGGACTTTATAGTTGCAGGCACAAAAAGTGCAGGGGGGTGCACAAAGTGCAGAAATACACATTTTTATCATCTTAGAAATATCTCATATAATAGTTTCACACAGGAACCATAAAGTCGGAGTACTTCTTTTATCTTACTGTTACTTCTTCTATCTTATAACTAGGGCAAACCAAGGTAACTTAACATCCCTAATTTTATAACATTTCTCATATAATCCTATTATCCATGCTATTTCATTAATGTATATTTCATAATCTATAATCTATAACCTATTACTTGTATTGATTTAACTCAGAGCATAACACAATACAGCAGAAGTACACTAAAATTTTTGTAGCTCATTGCATTTCAAATGATTTTACTGGATCTGCCTTTTAGGCTGCAAATACAAATACCAGAACATTGATGAGGAGAACAAAAATTCTGGGAGAAATCAAAGGTAATTTGTAGTCATTCAGCATGGAGTGACCCTTCAGGGAATCATAGCATGATATGGAATTTTTGGGGGGTGTGAGCCATTTCAATTGAACCGTGGTGGACCTTGAGCACAGTAGTCAAGCATTCTATCATTAACCTACATACCCTTTTCATGTAAATTATTAGAAACATAGAACAAATAATCAGAACTTTAAATATATTTATTCTTTTTATTTTTTCACTATTGTTATATACATCAATACAACTCAGATGTTCCAGAGTTTACATTATAATTGAATTGCAAGCATTGCTATGTAACTACATTCACAAATATCACTGTTTTTAAAATATATTTTTATTTGTAGGTAGACACAATATATTTATTCATTTATATTTTTAATATTTTGTTTATATGCTGGTGGACCTTTATTTAAAAAATATTTATTTTTAGCTATTGGTGGGCAGAATATTTTATTTTTACATGATGCTGAGGATCAAACCCATTGCTTCACACATGGTAGGGAGCATTCTACCTCTGAGCCACAACCTCAGCCTGGAGGACCTTTATTTTATTCATTTATTTATATGCATTGCTGAGAATCAAACCCAGTACCTCACACATGCTAGGACTGTGTTCTACAACTGAGACACAACCCCAGCCTGCTTATTCATTTATTTTTATGTAGTGCTCAGTATTGAATCTAATGTCTCACATGTGAGGCAAGTGCTCTACCACAGAGCTACAGCCCCAGCCCAAATATCATTGTTTTGATAATAGCTATTGGGAAGCCATGTTACAAAGTAATAAATTCATTCACTTTTTATTAATGTATACATGATACAAAACCTAGGCTGGGCAGCCTGGCACATGTCTATAATCCCAGTGGCTCAGGGGCCTGAGGCAGGAGGATCTTAACCTCAGCAAAAGTGAGGTGCTAAGCAACCCAGTGAAACCCTGTCTCTAAATAGCATATAAAATAGGGCTGGGGATATGGCTCAGTGGTCCAGTGCCCCTGAGTTTAATACCTGGTACCCCCTCCCCGCAAAAAGTGTGTCTGAGTTTGCTATTTGTATTTCACATTTAACTGTTTGGATATTGAACAACAAAGAGAAACTAACAGGAAGCTATATTGGAAGCATATGTGAAAATTTCTAAGGCATTCACATAAACTTGAGCACACACAACACAAACTCAATTAGCTCAGCAATGTTGCAGATGACAAGAGGAATACACACAGAAACAGAAGATTTTTACACTGGAAATGAACAATCTCAAAATGAAAACAAGAAGCAGTTCTATTCAAAATTGTATGAAACAAAAATACTTGGAAATAAATCTTACAACAGAAGAAGGTTAAGACCCATTGACCAGAAAGGTAAG